ACTCTATTTCCACATCAAAAGACGAAATTTCAACAAAAACAGTGGTGCACTGGCTACACAATGAGACAAAGATGGCGCCTGACGCTCTTGTTGTGGGCCACGGTACAACAATATTCATGCGCCAGGCGAAATAGTCCCGTATTCATCCGCGTTCGTTGTAGGAGTTGCGTTCGTTATAGCATTCTCAATTTTATAGGTAAAAGCGTTCGTTATAGGAATATTCGTAATAGGATCCGTTCGTTATAGCATACCCCACTGTATACCACATCATAATTGAGTCCGTCATCCACTGATTCAAAAACAGTTAAAAAGAATGTTAATATATGTAGATTTGTCAGACATGAACGTCCACTTGTGAAGCTATGTTGGGAATCATTGATCAACTTGTGTTTCTCCAGATGATTTTGAATTGAGTTTGAAATTACTTAAGTAATTTTGCCTACAACTCATGTTAAACTACACAGTAAAGCCTCCGATAACAACTTTTCATATTTGACACCCTAGTTAATTTAGGACCCAATTCAATTTACGTCCTTATTTCATTCGTATTTACGACCAAAATATAATAAAAATAAAATAAAATTACATTTTCATATAAATAATAACTAAATCCCGATATGTATAAAAAAAAAATTACTGTAAAAAGAATGAAGAGCACCTTGCACAAAGAAGATGCCTTGCTAATGAGTGGTAAACAACAGTCGGAGCTTGGTGGGCCTTTTGTTTTCCCGCATCTGGAACAGGAACGGGAGAAAAACACTCTCAGGTTTCTTACAGAATTTTTGCATCCCTATTCAACATGAGCAAGAGAGCAAGTGATGGTAGTGTTGGTTCAAAAGCTAATAGGAAGTGTATAAGCTTAGCCGAGAAACTAGGTGTTAAAACGATATGAGAAAGGCGAGAGGTCTGTGGATATATGGAGCAAGCAATGAACATATTTTCTGAAGTGGATCCATCAACAGAATAAAGCATTAAAATTTAGATAAATGCAAATGACCTCTACATAAAGATGTATAATGAGAAAAGAAAGCAGCTGTGCAAGGTTTTTTCGACAGCTTTATTATTCGAAGGCCTAAATCATCAACTTCAGCTACACCATCAAATTCAGCATCACAAGCAGCTTCAACATCAACTTCAGGTTCAGCAACAGCTTCAGCCAGAGTTGAACCTGATGACTTCGTCATCTGAGTAAAAACTCGCACAATATTCATTGGCTGTCCTTATGTTTTAGACTTTACCACCATTAGTGAGTAGAATTTTTGTTTTACATTCGTAAATATTATTTAAAACATATTTGAACAGTAAATAAGTGTTGCTTTCATATTCGTGTGTAGAGAAATGACGATATGTTTTCACATGTACGCACTTACTGTTCATACGTTGGCGTTCCCAATCGCCTCGCCTTATTTCTTTACCATTAGTGGTTAGCTACTTCTAGTGTTCCATTTATTAACATTAAATAACATTACTTAAAACATACATACAGGTATTCAAATTTTTTTTTGCATTAAGTTCACTACAGCTACAACCAGGGTCTTATTTTTTCAGTTTCTTATGTAGAACCATCGTCACTCACGAAAGCAATGCCGTCTTGTCTCCTCGTGTGTGTTTTAATATTCTAAATATTATTAATGAATTGCATTGTTCATATCACATATACTGTACTGTATAAACATTAATTCAATCAAATACATATTGAGTAATAAACAATAATGAATCTTTTGTACATATTCTTAAGATAAATGACAGTTTCCTTGAGTGCGCATGTATACATTGGCGTTCCACTATCAGTCTCACTTTTTCTTTAATATCAGTGGTTACTTCTACTGTACATTAAATAGCATTAATTAAAACAGACATATTTTTCACATTAATTTGACTACAACAATAACCAGGGTCTTATTTTCTTCAGTTTCAGGTGGATAACTGACATTATGGGTGTAAACACTGACAACAATGCCGTTTCTTATCCTCTTGTTTGTTTTAATATTCTTCGTATTATTAATGAATTACAGTACTGAATTGTATTGTTCATTTCGCATATACAAAGATTAATTCAATCAAATACATATTCAGTAATAGACAATAATGAATCTTTTGTACTTATTCTTAAAAAGTAAACAATAATGAATCTTTTGTACTTATTCTTAAAAAGTAAACAATAATGAATCTTCTGTACTTATTCTTGAAAAGTAAACAATAATGAATCTTGTGAACTTATTCTTAAAAAGATATATGACGCGGTATCCTTAAAAGCGCACGTATATGTTGGCATTCCCAATCCATCTCTTTTTTTTTTTCTTTGCCATTAGTGGTTAGCTACTTCTATTGTTCCATTTATTAATATTCAATAACATTACTTAAAACATATACTGTACAATAAATTAATTTTTTTTTACATTAATTTTACTACAGCTACAACCAGGGTCTTCTTTTCTTCATTTTCTCGTGTAGAACTATCGTCCCGGACTCCCAGCTGTAAACACAAACGAAAACAATGGCGTCCCATCTCCTCTTGTGTGACCATATTATTATTTATTTATATTGTATAAGGTGCATTCAGAAACATTATTTAAAGAATATAGTTTGCAATTTTCATTAATTGCATTGGTTTTTTTTTTGGAGAAAAGAGGGTAAAAAGCCACACAAAAGATATGAAAAGGTCACACTTGGGAACGCATCTCAATATTATTGCTTTATTTTAATGGTAATTAATGATTCGTGATAAGATGATCACCTTACACTGCAATATTGGAGGACACATTAACGTCGTTATTCGAGGCTTTACTGTACAGTACAGTCGGCCCTTAACATACGCGGGGGTTAGGTAACAGAGATACCCGTGAATGTTAAAAATCCGTGTACTTTTGCTGCCCCATCCCCCCCCCACCCTAAAAACCCCTGGCCCCCCATGTCCTTATTTACCGTATATACCTGTGTGTAGTTCGAGTTTTTAAGACCAAATTATTTTGCAAAAAATTGGGGGTCGACCTCTAAAAGGGCAATAGTTTCGTTAGGTTGAAAAATATTTACCAGTAACTACCAGTAAACAATGGAAACGATGCACCAACGCACCACCAGCTGTGATTGTCGGTACAGTCGCCAGGGCAGATCTCTTGCGTCATCATAGCTAGCCCAAAGTAGCCAAATGCATGGTATGGTACTGTACATAAACTTTTGTTCATTACATTTGAAACATCAATCTTTGTTAATTAAATTTGATACAAAAGAAAACTACGATACCGTATTTTCATTAAAATATTACATCACAAGTATATTTTACCTTAACTGTGACCGAATGAATATATTCTCAGAAATAAATATGGAAATGTAATATTTGGGCTGAAATGACGTACATATTACTGTACAGTGGAAAGTGGGATAGTGATCTGTAATTGGGCGGTAGTTAGAGGATAGTGATCTGTAACTGGATGGTAGTTAGAGGATAGTGGTCTGTAATTGGACGGTAGTTAGAGGATAGTGATCTGTAATTGGGCAGTAGTTAGAGGATAATGATCTATAATTGGACTGTAGTTAGATGATAGTGATCTATCTCCTTTCTTGAAAACCTCTATCACATTTGCTATCCTCCAGGATTCGGGTACTTCACCGATTTTAAATAATATGTTAAAAAGTTTAATACTCTGGCAAATATCTTGTTGGGACCTGACGACTTACTAGGCTTTAGTTTATCTATTTGTTTCCTAACATCATTACTAGTCACTACTATCTCGTTTAATCTGTTTTCTTCACTATCTCTGTAGATAGTTGGTGCCTCGGATATCGTGTTTAATTTTCAGTTGTAAAAACTGATGAAAAATATCTGTTCAGATTATGACTCATTTCTCCATCATTATCAGTTAGTTCACCTGTATCGGACGGTATACTGTACAGTACAGTATATGTCTTTTTCCATGTGCAGTAATTCTTGCCAAATTATATTAATTAATCAATCATATCATTCCAACTTCCAACTTCTTGTAAAGTTTCAGACCACTTATATGGAAAGGCTTTTTTTTTTTTTTTTTAATTTAGAATACAGTACAGTACTGCTGTACTATACTACAGTACTGCACTGTAATTGGTAGGTTTTCTTTCACAATGTCGTGTATGATTACTTATGGCATGCTATGACTTTTGGCTTCTAAATAAAAGTAAGTTCAGATTCCAAATATATTGCTTCTTCAATAAATTGATATTGAAAGCAAAAAAATAAATTTTTATTAATTTTGAAAAGATTAGCTGTTTACTCTTTATCATCTAATGGATAGAACAGGTAGTTAGCATCCAAAATTTTACATTGACAAAGTCTATTACAGAGGTACAGACTTGCTGTCTGTCTAACTTTCCTTTTTCTTTAAGTTTTACTTATTTCCTCCAGTGAAATTAAATGTATGGTGGACTGGTTCTCACAAAGTATATTCTGCTACCTGTACTATTACCCCCAAAATGGTGGCATGAAGGTTTTACTAATATCCCTCCTATGAAATTAAATGCTATACAGTACAGTATATGGTGGTGGTCCTCATACAGTATATTCTACTGCTATTACCCCCAAAATAGATGGCATATCATGGTAAAGTGAATGGTACTGGCCTGGTCACTCCCTTTAATTAGACATTCTGCCTCTAGAGGGGAACCTTTATTTCTAATCCCCTTCATTTAACACTGCTTAATAAAATCATCTGGCATTAGCCAAATAAAATATATTAAAATTGTTGTTCTGTAGTGAATGACAGAAGGTGTTTGACAGGGAGGGATGACCAATTGTCAGCATGTATTCTTACTTACCAAAGCAATTTAATATTATAATGACAAGTGCCTCACAGATTATGCTCTTCTCTAACATACTGTGAAAAAACAAAGGTATTTGAGATCTAGTACAGTACTCTTTCTCATTTACCTTTAGAAAAAGGATTGGAAACTCCTGGCTTGAAAGTAGTTTTTAGTCCCTGCCCATAACTTGCTGGGGGTACATGTATCATCATTGTCTCTTGCAGTATGGATCGGTGCAGCTCTCCAGGAAGAAGGAAGTAATACATGTGAACAAGAAGAAATCAAGTGTGGATAACAAAGCAAAACTCTATGGAAGTTTTGTGGAGGTAATATTTTGTTATGAATTTGTTTTAATTGGGGACTTCAAGCCTGGTAGAATAAAGAAAATAGAAAGAACATAATTAATTATTGTTTATCATTTACTTTTAAGACTTGGCAATGCCTCTCATTTTCTTATTTTTTATTTAACTTTCTTAACCATGCCTCAAAATGTAGTTTAGGGTGTTACTGTACAGCTGTTGATATCCTAGATACAGTATATAATTTGTAGGAAGAAGCACTGGTGTCAGAAATGGATAATGTTTAGATTGTGCGGCATTTAAAATAAACCATTAACCAGAAATATGCTAAAGGATAAAATTGCAAATAGGCAAATTATTAATAGGCAAATTATTAATGAAATTGATTTAGAGGAAGGAAGAAAAATGTTTTCTCATATTATGATTTCTATTCTTAGGGTGGCATTCTACTTGGTGGAAATGAAGAGAAAGAGAAATCCGAGAGTGAGGAGTCTGAACACGAGCAAAAATTTTCACACCAACTAACAGATGAGGAACTGTTCAAGATATGTGGTGGACGAACTGCACACAAGTAAGGATTTATCAGTCTTTGTGTTGTCCTTCACTTTAATGGTTGTGTGTAATTAGACTCCATATGATAAAATGCCCATTAGTACTGTATATGGGCTTGTCTGTTGTATGACCCTGTAGAGTGGTCACACACAAGTACACAAATAATTATTTATGGATAAAGTTTCAAACCCAAATTGTCTCTTTTTATTATAAAAATCTGTCTCTACACAATGAAAGTGTGATATCACCATAATTAACCCTATGAGCAGTTTAGCTCAGGAGAGGATGGAAGCAGTCATAGTGAGCTTCATAAACACAAGTGATTAGTATCAGATACTTGGGTCAAATGAGGGTAACTGGCAAGTTATTTGATGACCTCTGCTGGATAGTGGTTTACGGGTCATTTGTAATTAAATAAAAATACTGTATGTAGCCCTTATTTATATAAATATTACTCTGTCTGTTGGATCATTTTAGTCATTGTGTAGCCATAGTACAGGGTAGTAGTATTGAAGTATGTTTGCTAGGAGTGTTATACTGTTGTGTAGGATATTATTTGTCCTGACTGTAATTGATTGACAGAAATTCATAAATATACAGTACATTATATAGATTCCCAGATGCATAGTAGTGTGTTTATACTAATCACACTGTAGCAGCAAATTAGGCAAACCCAACTCATTCCACCTGAATATGAACCACCTTTATGCTAACTTAACCTCCCCAGGTATATTTAAGGTGGTTACAGGGGAAATAAGCTGGGTTACCTAATATTTACATGAATTGCAGTGTTAGTAATCAGCACACTGTACAGTAGTAACAAAAATATAAAAGTTTTATAAATCTTTTATTTTGTGTTCAGGGGAGCTCGACACGGCCTGAACATGTCGGCCAAGCTGGCAAGGTCAGAAGAACTGGAACGTTTATGGATGCAGAAATGGGCTACTTCAGATGAGCAGGCCCAACAGGAACCTGTTGAGGGTGAAACCAAAGAGAAAAAGAAGAGAAAGAAACAAAAACAAAATCGAGGTGAAGACATATCCGAGATAGATACAATGTTCGATGTTAAATTAACAAAAGAGAAAAAAGTGAAAGTACATAAGAATGAAAACACAAATTTTACCACTAAAGACTTAGAACGGAGTGGAATGAGTAATAAATTAAAAAAGCGAAAAAGAGACGGTGGCAGTGCATTGGAGTCTCCCTTAGAGGTAGTGAAAAATGAATCTTCTAATGATCATAATTGTTCTGAAGAGTTAACAAATGAGGATATTGAACAACCAGAGTCTCAGGACAGTGAAATGAACAGGTGTAAGAGAAAGGAAAAGAAGAAAAAGAGAAAAAATAAAGAAACTGCTGTGGATGACACAAATGAATGTGCAGGTGATGGAAAGGAAATGAAGAAGAAAAAAAGAAAGAAAGTAAAATGTGCTGGAGAGAAAGAAAACAGTTGTACTGAAGTAGAAGAACAGGAGGCAAAAATAGTTAAAGAGGAAATAGAAGTAAACCAAGTATGTTCTGAAAGTGAAACAACAGAACCAAAGAAGAAGATGAAGAAGAAACTCAAGGACAATGATGATAAGGTACAGCACACTGAAGGAAATAGTGAGGTAGTACAAGTAACCCAGAAAAAGAAGAAAAAAAGAAGAGACACTTAATAACCAGTAGGCCATGTTGAAGTGGATTTCATGTTGCCAGTATTTCTAGGGAGGAGCACAATACCTGTACTGTATGTAGTATCTTTAAAACCAATATATCCATAGTGAAAATAATGTTGCTTCTTCACCTTATTCACCTCACGGGTAATTTAGGTAATGAGGTTCGTTTTAAGCATTTGATTTTAGCTGCTGTTCCTCAATTTGTTTTTTTATCTACCAAAATGTTGATCAATTTAAACTGTGCAAATGTATTGATATAAATGTTGTGTTTTATGTGGGGAGGAGTAAGGATGTACAGTGAGTTCTGCTATAACTCGTGTTTTTGACAATGCGAATTGGCTCTAACGCGATTTATGAATAGAGGAACGATATTTGTATAACGCGAACGCTTGTTTGCTGTAACGCGATTTTTGCTCACTATTTCTCCAATTTTGTGGTATTAACTGTGAATATGGTAAAGAAGAATATCTCCAAGAAGCGTTCTGGTGATCGCATTCCCGGTGATGATTGTAAAAGAAAGGCTATAACCCTTGAAGAGAAGCTCGATGTTATCAACCTCAAAATCACCCTTCTCCCCCATCAAGTTATATTCATATTTTTCAAGGTAAAGTGTTACATTTACTGTATGATTTCATTATTAGATATGAATGTAACATTTATTTGGACTGTGCTATCCTTTGTGTTAGGCTAACTACTAAATTTTTTTTGATTTCGAGTAGTAATCTGCACCTAACCCTATTTTCTCCATAAGTCCTGTTATTTCTATTACGCAAATTTCTATAACACGATGTTTTACAAGAACACAACTATCGCGTTATAGCAGAACTGACTGTAAAGGCAATGGGCAGCCATCTCAGGCCCAAGCAATTGGAGGTTCATCTTGCTGAAGCCTCAGCAGCAGTTGGTATAACCAAGGACTACATACAAGGACACACCGTTGTAATGTCGTGAATTTTTTGCTCCGCCCCATTCAATGGTGTCACGCTATCCGTAGTGACCAGAGGGTGACCAAGGACTATGGCCTCGCCTTGGTTGACGTTTGTTTCATTTTTTAGAATACTTGTAAGGCTAAAACTTCTCTGTGGCCAGGTATAACAAAATGAATGCCTAACGTTCTCATAATCCTCCAAAAAATTATACTGTATAGGAAAAAAAAAGAAAAAATAGCAAAATATTACAAGGAAACACCAAAGGGGGGGGGGGGCATTTTGCTGATGACAGGGATGAAGCAACACAATTTTTTAGCTTATTAGCAAAGCAAAGATTTCCCTTTTGCCAGATATAGCAAGGTGAATGTCTGAGGGTACTCTGGACAACTGGATATTGCCTGACAATGTATACTTAAGAAATATAGCAAGTTTTCTAGGCGTTACGAACACGACCGTCGCCGGTGAATTAAGTGATGCAACTCTTCGTTTTTCTTATATTTTGGGCAATATTATTGTTGCTTTTTTGTTGTCAGACGTGGCAAGAGCAATGTCTCATGGTCTTCCAAATGACCTCATGTTGCCTGACATTGCAGAATTAAGAAGCCACAAGAAATCTTCTTTGCGTCTTGAAACCTGAAACCCACGTACCTGTGTTCTTAACTTTAATTTTTAAGATTATTAAATATGTTCAGAGTTCTTTTTTGGCCACATATAGCAAGATGAGTGTCTCACCTTCCTGTAACACCTGATATCGACAAACATTCCCGAATTAAGGAGATACAAAAGAAATATGAACTCTTTTCAAACAAGTTCTCGGCTAGTCTAATGTGTTTATTTTATCAGAACGCTTGCAGGCATTTATCCATTTATCACAAGTTTTCTTATCTCTGGGATATCTGTAATACTTGATGTACTCACTGCTTGAGATTTGAGCATTGCTGGTGCACCTGTATTTTGCACAAATAACCCTAATTGTTGATACACTGGTCCCGGATGCAGATGCGGACACACGCGGAGGTTATCAGGTAATATGTGTTTACAACAGTGAGGTCACTGAACTGTGCATTGTGGGTAAAACAAGTGCCCGGCGGTATGTCTTTTCTGTCTCTAATCCTTGGGTATAACAGCAGCCAAAATTGCTGATATAGCCTCCAAATCGCCTCCCCAGTGCCAACCCAAGGGAGTTCTGTCCAGTTAGGATTGGGAAACAGTTGAATACACCCCCAAAAACTCAAAGCTGAGCTCCTGGAGCACAGTGTTCAGCACTTGCACCAGACCAACATGCCAACTCCCAAAGTATTTTCTTTTCACTGAAACAGTTAATTCCCACACACCCATTAGTCCAAGAAGTGCTGGCATGGCTGGTCCTTCTGTATTCTTAAAGACGGGCAAGTGTGTGTTGGGTGCCTGGATGCCTGCACATGTGGGCATTGAATGAAATGAGCACACTAACCTAACAGCAAAGGAGGCAGTTAGCCTCCCTTGACCTATGAGTGTCAATATACCTCGAAGTGACCTGAAGGGGTCAATCCACTCTTGCTGCTGGGAAGTGGCAAGAGCGTTGGTCGTCCCTGACAATAAACACTAAACTGCGAGCTATCCGACCTTTTATTAAACCGTTGTGGTCCTCTTATTTTCCCAATAGGAGTGGTATTGTTTTAAGGAAGTTGAGGATTGGCCACTCCCACCTCAAACATAATTATATGTTTAAGAGTGGAGTGGAGCGACAGGCTCCTCGCTGCAGCTCGTCACACTGACCGACAGTTAACCATATCTTAGTTAACTGTAGATCTTTTATTCTTCAAAGGAGAGACAATTCCCTGAACAATAAATCCATCAACAAAATTTTGAATGATGAGGGAGATATTGTACCTAGTTCTTCACTCCATTTGGAAATGGAGCACATCCCTCTTGTTTTCAACATTTTTGATATCTTGCAATGATTCACCCAACTTAAAGTAATACTATAGTACAGGGGCTCCCCTACTTACGAACAGGTTAGGTTCCTGAGGTCTGCTTGTACGTCCAACATTACTCTTGTCAATATTGAATACCGTATACAGCATTTTAAAAAAAAGGTTGTACAGACAGCTATACCCCAATAATACTCGACAGCATTTCTTACCAGCCTTAAATGGTATTTTAATGTATAAATAGCATGTACAGTCTCTCCTCGACCTATGACGGGGTTCCATCCCGACGACCAGGTCGTAAGTCGAAAATGCGAAAATAATACATAGAAATTCTAAAATGAAATACGGTACAGTAAAAGTAATCAATAATGAGAAATGAATAAAGCGTTACTGTGCACTTACCATTAATGTAGTCAGCTGAATGCACACTGGGCCTCAATAATTTTTTAATTAAACATGGAGACTACATTAATTGGATGAAGCAGAGGAGGAGACAGGGTTGGGTGGGTCATCAATTTTGCTTTCTTCAGACAGGCTAACATACTTGCTTGTTGAAGGTAATGGATCATCTTTAGGGAGTGAAGAGGCGGCAGTGGTGGGGAGTGAGGAGACAGCAGTGGGGGCCTTCTTAAAATATATGTCCAATTTAGACTGCACAGTTTGCCTTTTCTTTTCATTGTAAGTCTCCCTGTAGCGAGCAAGTGTATCTTGGATCAGTCTGTCAACTTTTGCAAAATGCTCAACATTTTGATCCATTTCTTCAAACATTTGCATCCCCTTATTAAGAGTAGCAAATGCCTCTGCCTTGTCCTTCAAATTTTTTTATATCGTCGAGTGAAAGAAGCCAAGGTCGCGTGAAATGGTTGCTACCCTTTTTTCCATTTCCATATTGCATTATTATTTTCATTTTCATCTCAAAAGTAATTGACTGTCTCCTTTTCTTATCATCACCACCAGAACTCTCACTTTTACGCTTGCCAGCCATTTTAAAGAGAATTAGAAACGAAAATTTTGTCAGTGCACAGCGCGATCACTAACAACAACAACGACGGCCAAACACCAACTGAGCGGGCTACGGCGTGGATGCTGTACACCACGAGGCGGCCCAGCCCACGCTGTCGTACGGGACGGAAACGTTTCGGTACTAGAAAATACGTACAGTAATTTGAAAAATATTTTATACGACTACAGGAAGACCTAAACAAAATTTTTACATGGTCTGAAAAATGACAGATGAAATATACTGTGGACAAATGTAATGTACTAAGCCCAGGAGATGAAAATAGAGAAACTAGATATCAGATGAACAAGTTTGATATAGAGAAATCCAACTGTGAGAAAGATTTATGTGTAATGATAAGTAGGTATCTTAAACTAAGACAACAATGTGCATTTGCTTGAAACGGTTAACAAAGTACATACTGCATAGTGATATCCCCGTTAGCCGCAACAATTGGTGAGCACTTCCGAAAATGAGAGATTTATGGGTAATGAGACGACTCTCAAAGCCAGAAAAAATCCCCCATCCCCGGAATTTTCCGGGTAACGGAAAAATGTTCTCAGAAGTTCCAGAAATTGCACATTACATCATTTCTCGAACCCGGAAAAATATCCCCCACGCCCAGAATTTCTCGGTACTGGAAAATTTTTCTCTGAATTTTCAGAAAATTTACCCGATTTTCATCTTTCAAACCTGGAAAAAAAATCCCTCATCCCCGGAATTTTCCAGGTACTAGGAAAATTTTCTCAGAATTTTCCAGAAAATTGCTCCCAAAGCCAGAAAGTTCCGACTTTGGGAACGATTTTTTTAGAAAATTTCAGTTCCAACTATTGGAGAGTTCCGGTTAAGAGGGATTCCAGCTAATGGAGATATTACTTAGGGGGTCCCCGGGTTATGAACGGGTTCCGTTCTTGAGGACGTCCGTGTCAGAAGGGTATATAAGTTGGAACACACCCTATGTGCACTCTATCATAGCCTAAGTCCTTTCATACATCTTGAATCACTTAATTTAAGAGAAAAGAAGAAATCGAATGACAAAATGCAGTAAAGTAAAGTACGTAAATATTAAAGTTTAACACTTGCATTGAAACATGGGGCTGGCTTGCCTGAAGAGATGAGTAATTATAGGAGTGACAGAGGCTTTGTTGAGACAAAACTGAAGATGGTGATGATGGTGTACAATAGATGTTAACAGGATTGGTTCTGGAGAATCTGGTGAGGTAGAATTAACTGGTCTGGAGTTGCTGGGAGTTGTTCTGTAGATACTGCAGAGGATGGTGGGAGTTGCTTTGTAGATGCTGCAGAGGTTGATGAGACTGGTTTGGGCTACCTTTCGACTTAATTTAAACAAATTTCAAGGTATGGTTAAACTGAAACTTTCTTCTTTTCATCATAAAACTCTTTGTAGCAACACAGGCATTCAGTAATACCTCTATTAACCTTGGTGAATCTTGCTGTGTTGGGATCTTGCTGTTCAAATTTAAACATTCCTTCTTCAATAAGCCTGAAATCTTCTGTCATTTCTTTTGACATGAATTGCATTGGTTCTGGAGTTTCAGCTTCCTCTTACAAAATTAGCTTCTCCAGTTCAATCAGGTCCTCAGTACTTAATTCTTCAGCATGAGACTCAAGCAACTCTGTGACATCATCCTCATGAATATCTAGCTGGAGTTGGTTCCCAAGGTCTACCACTGTCTTTGTCACTTCCCCAACATCATCTTCAAAGCCCCTGAAATCTTGGACAAACTGTGGGCAGAGTTTTTTTCCAAACACCATTCATGTTGGTTTCTTTTACCTCAGCCCATGAATCTGCAATGTTTTTCACAGCATCCAAAATGTTGTAGGACTTCCAAAATTCCTTTAAAGTCCTACCGTCTTTTTGTTCTGTTGTCCTGATAGCTTGAGCAAATGTCCTTCTCAGGTAATATGCTTTAAATGAAGCAATAACTCCCTCGTCCATTGGTTGCTGAACAGATGTTGTGTTTGGAGGTAGGTACAGTCGGGGTCAAAAGTTCACTCCCTTCCAAAATGAAGCAGTGTCGACCCCAAATGAGATGAACCAGCACAACCGCAGCCAGGGAGAGAACTTTTGTCCGCCACTGTACATAACCTTCATGTTTGGATGAACATCATCTAAACCAAGAGAATTTTAGAAGGCATTGACTTTGAAATACTGTACTGCTCCACTTCTGGGACAGAATAATTAAGGTACTGTACCAGTCTTCATAAAGGGACAATGTCACCCAAATTCTTATTAGCTTTCCAGATAACTGGAAGTGCTCCCTTGAAAACACATTTCAAAGCTCTAGGATTTTCTGACTGGTAGACAAGCAAAGGTTTTAGTTTGTACTCCCCAGCAGCATTGTCCCCCAGCATTAAGGTCAATCTCTCCTTGGCAGCTTTATGACCTGGTGCTGTTTTTTTCAGGTTTTGAAAGCTATGTGCGTTCGGGCATCCCTTTCTAAAATAAAACAGTCTCATCAATATTAAAAACTTGCTCAGCACAATAACCTCCATCTTCTATTACAGCTAAAGCAGCAGGAAATTCACTAGCTGCAACTTCATCCACACTAGCTGCTTCACCTTGTACTTTAATATTAGGTAAGTTTGCCCTTGCCTTGAACTGGTTAAACCAACCCCAACTAGCAACAAAATCTTCCGCATCACTTTAACCACCATGTTTAGCCTTCAAGTCAGCGTGCTAGCTTCTCACTTTTTCCTGAATCAAGGATAGACATGAAGGCAGACACTGTTGATTTTGATCTGCAACCCATATCACTGACAATCTTTCCATTTCACTTAACACTCCACTTCTTTGTTTTGTTATCACAGTTAAGTGCATTGTTGTAGATCCTTTAACTTTAACATGATCAAGAAACTTCTGTTTGTCTTTCAAAATTGTTCTGACCATTGAGCGGCTGAAGCCCAATGCCTCACCTATCACTGACGGTGTTACGCCTTTTTCAGAATGTTTAATTACATCAAGTTTCACTTGCATCGTTGTTTTTCTTTTCTTGGATACACTACTATCACTTGCATCAGGTTTGTGTTTTGGGAGCCATGATGAAGGCAGAAAAAGAGTTAATAAGCAAAAAACAACAGTTTGCACTTGATCACACACATTACTGAGATGAGGGTAAGGAGTATACTGACACTACCTCAAGGCGTGTGGCTGGGTGACCCATCACTTCCCACACGCCGCTCCTCCTCCCCTCTACGCCTTGTAAACTAGTGCTACAAACCATTGTATTTATGTCAGATTGTTAAAATGATTGACCTTATGGGACCTCGTTCGTATTGGCGGGTGTTCATAAGTCAGGATGTTCATAAGTCAGGGACCCCATGTAGTTGGGATCATTCAAAGTAGTGTTAGTTACAAGACTAGAGAGGTTATCCAGAAACTATTTCTTGTGCTTGAGGCCTTACTTGGATTTTTCAGTTCAGTTTTGGTCACCGTACTACAGAACGGATATTGAATCCCTAGAAAGCATTCAGTGGAGGATGACAAGACTAATCCCTTGCATTAGGAACCTTGAGTATAGAGACAGATTAAAGCATCTGAATTTACACTCCCTTGAGAGACGTAGAGTGAGGGGCAATATGATCGAGGTGTATAAATGGAAGTCAGGGCTAAACAAATGTGATATAACAAAGGTACTCAAACTATCCAGCCAGGAGCGAACTCTTAGCAATGGTTTTAAATTAGATAAATTTAGATTTAGGTGCGAGATAGATAAACACTGGTCTGGAAATAGAGTACATAGTGGGTAAGTGGAACAACTGAAACCAAACATCATCATTAATTCGAACAAAATGGGTAGTTTCAAATATAAGTTGGACTGATATATGAGCAATAGGGGTTGGGTGTCAATGGGACTGCTCAGTATGGGCCCATAGGCCCACTGCAGTTCCCCCCATTCATATGTTTAGATATTCTTGGCCCTTAAAGGGCAGCCATCATCAGTGGAAATTAGCTGTGGGGATAGCAGCCATTATATCTGGAAGTTTCATGTACCTTATGTTCCACTTTACACATGTGGGGATGGGGGGTAGACCTTGATTAAGGGTTAAGAGAGTAGCACCTGGGATTACCATATATTCCCAGGGATGTATTTAAAGTACACTTGCAATGTGATTGCATTTGCCTGATATTAGAACAGTACTGTACCTATGTACTGTAGCCATATTTTATTTTACTTCACAGAGAGCTGGGAAGATGCAAGAAGTGGAAGGGGTAGGTCTGAAATCCACAGGGTAGTAAGCTTTCTCCTTGATTATATGTTTGGGTTAGTTTTCTCTTTGAGTATAGGTATATACATTTTAAAAATGGAAAAGTTATATTAAAATCTGGACAGAATTTTCAGTGGTTGGGATTTGAATGGAACTTTGAGACTTAAAATCTTCTGGAGGAAGCTCAGCTGTTTTGTAATGTACTGGATTCACTCTTATTTCTTAAGGCAGATGTTTCGATGACAATGTAGAAAGATGGTAAAAAATTTAGTGTTTCCAGTCCAAGTCATGAAGTTGAGTAATTTTTATCTCGAGTTGGAAATCTTCATCACAACTATTTTAAGGCCACTTTACACTTGTGTAATCTTAGTGCTAAATAGACTTTTATATACCTGTACTAAATACTGTATAGAAATATGGTGTTTCCCTTCCCTCATGACTAGAAGATTGCCTTCAAGTGGATGAGGAACAGAAGGCAACTTTCATCACAAAGCCTTGAATGTTTTCCAAACCAGCTTTGTTTGTTTGGACCGAGGTGTCATGCTTTAGAGGGACCTTTAAACCCAGATACAATATCTATGTATAAAAGAGTTTCTTGTTTTCCTGTTTTTCCTTAGAGATAGGGAGAGATATTATTTCTCTCAGAAAACATAAATCTTCATTTCTTTTTTATTTATTCGTGTACCCCTAAAGTCCAGAAAACTGTGAGGGCAAACTTTTTTGGAGTGAGAGTTGTGAACTCTTGGAACAATCTACCAGAAAGTGTTGTGACGGCACGGAGTGTGAGCTCTTTCAAGACCAGACTTGACCAACACTGGAGCAGGCTCAGATACATTCAGGAGCCGGTGCATGCCTAATCCTTGCCAACAGTGCATAACAGAGACGTGACCAATCGCCCAAGCGGCTAACGAGCTGATTAATTGGTGAAGAGGATAAAAGTAAGTAAAAAAAAGTGTGTTGTATCTGAGTACATTGCCTCTGATGGGCCCCTCATGCCTATGAGACCCATTTCAACATTTCATTGTGAAAATCAGATTTTTCATGACAGCTCTGCAAGATGTTCTTTTTTCTCCAATTCCTATAATGTCTCCTCTTTTTGACTAGCATCCCTTGACAAATGGTTGAAAATTGAATCTTCCCCAAACAGGTTAGCCACCGAAAGCTAAGACTACTGTTTACTCTAACAACACCTGCAACTTTGCTGAAAATTTTTTTCGCTGGTTTGGCCATTACAAAGGAAACAGATCACCTTTAGTTATCACTGAGAAACAAGAGTGTTTAAGAGTACTGTACTATTATAATAAGGGTTATCGGAGCAAGCATATATTATTAAAAAGGACAGGGAAACTAAAAATAGAGATAACAGTAAATGAAACAAAAGTATGGTAAGACAAAAAGGTAAGGGAACTGGGAAACTAGAGAACAAACTAAGAAAAACAGAAAACTAGAAACAAATCCAAGGGGCAACCTCAAATCCACACCATTCCTAAATATTCTATCTATTTCACCATCCCATACACAGGTCCACTCAGTTTCACCCCGAGAAACAAAAGCTTAAAAAGCTTTTCAATGAATTCTATCCACAAATTTCTCTTAGACTAGTCTTCAAAGCCCAGAGTTCAATTAATGAATTCTTTAAAACTAAAGACACCAAACCAACACACTTGCAATCCTCAGTTGTTTATCAATTTATGTGTGCTAGCTGTAGGGCAGCATATATACCGGGTAAGTAGAACAAAGAGACACTTGATAACTCTCATTCATGAGCAGTTGGGCCATTGCGTCCGTGTAATGACCACGGTCGTACATGTTAGTTTACGTAAAATCAGATGATTCATATCATGCTCAATAGCCCATAAAACATGTAGCTATAACTTCATTATTGAGTCCCCCATCTGAGACGTCCGTTTTCTCACCGCTTCAGTACGCCTGAGTCCTCCGTTTTCTCTCGTGTACCTCAGACTCTAATATCTCTTAATATCTTACATTATGTTCAGAGTTTTGAAATTAAAAGTCTCATGTGCCAAGTAAGAAATAACGTAAGATGTAATCTGTCTCGTTGTCATGCGTCTTCCTTGCCTGGTGTATGTGATTATTTGTATTTGAGTTTAGACTTTTCTGATGCTCTCTCATCGTAGCTCAGGGACGGTGTGCATTGTAGCTGATACCCGCAGCTACCAGGGAGCAGTAGCTGCCTACTAGCAAGATGTCCAAGGCAGGATTTCTTTAATTCAGTGAGATTAAAACCAGGGAGTAACGCATCCTGGGAGCTAACCCCGGAGGAGTGGGCTCATCTGGCACCGCTTGCTGGAGTTTAACTACGCTACAGCTGACCACATGCGTTTGAAAATCAATGATGTGAGCCTGGTGTACTACTCTCGATTATATGTGCAAAGTAGCGTTCTTGTACCTGTACATGATTAGGTATAATTAGCAGAAAAATAATTGTCCCAGGTGGAGTGTGGAAACCATAAATATTGCTATTACCAGTATTAGAGTTTGTTATAGTTGTGAGCAAACCATCAATGTGTACTCCCAACTGAGATGCTGGTACGTACATGTTTCCATGTTATTCATTCAGTAATAACATGATGTTATAAGAAATGTCTTAGTATCACTGTGCTATTGCAAGTGTGTAAAGTGACCATCTTTATTGTCAATGATCTATCATAATACCCCTAAGGAGGTATAAGTTGAATGTTAATTGAAGATCTATTTTGTTAATTATAAGGTAAGACCCAGTGGTCTATTCTTGTCCGGGTGTTGCAGTAAAGTAATCAATGATTGAACCTAGTTTTTTGTTGTGGATAAAGGTTCAAATTGTGACTTGATTTTAATAAATATTGATTTAGTAGAATGTGAGTATCACCGCTCCTTTCTTTCTAACAATTGGTTCTCAGAAAAAACAAACACTAACCCACGTGCCGAAGCTCGTCTACCACGCAACCTAATACTTTTAATGATACCAGTTATATTCTAAATAAAACCCTGGATGGTGGCAGTCTACCGTTTAAGTATAGTAATTATACTAATAGGTGTTGCAAAAGAATGATATGGTTTTCCCAGGTTAGGCGCGGGTCGGGTAGTGTTGCGTCTCTGTCACAAAGCGCGTTCGGCATTCCGGACTTCGTTGTTGAGCGGCAGAAATTGGACAGTGGTTACATATGATCGTGAAGATCGTCTTAGTGATGTGAAAGAGTAAATCGATGTAGGATTTTTAATGCTAGACGCGATTGTATTTTTGAAAACTCAATCTCCACCAAGTTGGAGATACAGCCCAGGTCAAGACGCCTACAACTAGTTGAGACTGAATGTGAGAAGGACCTAGGTGTGTATGTAGACAATGAGCTAAAGTTCTCGGGCCATTGCGAGAAGAAGGTAAATCAGGCAAATAAATTATTGGGTCTTATAAGAAGGTCGTTCACATATTTAGACGGTCCGTCCCTCGTAACGATCTTCACGAGTGAAGTGCTTCACCATCTGGAATACTGTCACCCCGTCTGGTCCCCGAGATATGCTAGGGACTGTCAGTTGGTTGAAAATGTTCAAAGGAGGGCCACCAGACTGGTACCTGCACTTCGGCACCTCAGCTACCCTGAGAGATTGCAGCGCCTGAACTTGCTTAGCTTATACTACATACGGGCAAGGGGTGACCTAGTTGAGGTGTATAAGCATCTCAGGGGGCACTACTCAGTCGGGTGTCCTTACTTGGAGCTGGCGAACGCTCGCCCCCACAAGGGGTCACAGCTCAAGATTGAAGAAGCCACAAGTCCAGAAAACTGTGAGGGCAAACTTTTTCGGAGTGAGGATTGTAAACTCTTGGAATAATCTACCAGAAAGTGTTGTGACGGCACCGAGTATGAGCTCTTTCAAGATCAGACTTGACCAACACTGGAACGGGTTCAGGTACATTCAGGAGCCTGTGCATGCCCAGCACTTGCCAACAGTGCGTGACAGAGACGTGACCGATCGCCGGGCGGCTGGCGAGCCGATCTTTTGGTGAAGAGGATAAAAGAAAAGGAAAAGTAATCAGAGACGTGACCGATCGCCCAAGCGGCTAACGAGCCGATCAGTGGTGAAGAGGATAAAAGTAAAAGTACAACCACGAAATCACTGCCATATGACAAAGCTTTTATTTTATGTTTTTACAGAGTTGTGGTCACGGCTGTGATAAAGGCTAACCAGGGAGTGTAGTACTGTGCCTTTAGTTAAATCAGTTCATAGTGTCATCAGTGACTGCAGAAGAATTTGTAATTAACTTAAAGTGAATACAAATTGACAAGCAAGCTGGAAAGGCACCACTGCCAGCTGAAACCAATTTGTGTTATAGGTGCCACAGAGACTTTAAATTTTATTTTGTTTGTGTGCTTTCTCAAGGACTGAAACTGTGCCTACAATACACCATTCACAGGGAGATACAGTGTACACAGTGATAGCACAATATACTGCCAGATGTGGGATCACTAATTCTAAGGGGGATAACTTAACTATAGTCTTAATTTTAAAGGTTGCTGCCACCAGACCCCCTCTGGGCAGTATGTAGCTCGTTAGGTATCGGGCAGAGTGGACTAGGCATTGGGTTAGGTTTTTCATTGACCAGATCGATAAGGGGAAAGAAGGGTGAAACCATAACATGTCTTAACTAATTTATTCCTTATAAAACATACTGTCACAAAAAAAACAAGTGAGTTGGCCTTCCTCAGAAGAACAACGAGGATTTTGGATATCCTTCTTACAATATCACTCAACACGTCGGACTGCTCCACCTGTATGGAATATAGCACCTTAGGTCATCATACATAGTAACACCATCTCACCTCCCTGTAGCACCAGCTCAACACACCTGTTACACTCCACACCTGCAAGTATGGGACTCCTTGTAATTTCTAGGTATATATAACAAGCACCTCGTTCGCACACCGCCCTCGGTGGGTAGACACGAGGGCTACACCAAGAGACATACCAGTACCATTTCTACACCTGGTATTATAGGTTGCTCCAAGTAACAACCGCGGAGTTTCTCACGTTCTCCTTATTTGTTCCTACTCATTTGGGGTGGTGTGCTGGGAATCCACAGGTTCACAGTGGACTGGCATAGCTGGGAGTAGTCACCACCTGGTGGGACGCTGACAGGGATAATGGCCGCCGCCCAGCAAGGCACTCCGACCGCATGGGACCTGAGATGACGGTAGAACGGAGGATACTGGCCTGAGATTCTACAAGCGCGGTGGATTTGAATGTTATGTAGCGTAATATGAATTAAAGGGGTTTTTTAGGAATGACAATGATGTGCGCAGTACATAGCCTTCCCCTTCCAAAGATTCATATTATGAGGAATAATATGCCAAAGCAACAATGCTGTAAAGTACATACATTTTACAAAATCCTAACAGTTCGTGATTACAGTACCTTGATACACCAAACAAAACATAAGGAGACTTAACGTTTCCCATGAGTATGTACTCCGTACATCATGTCAGAGACCCGACACATTACAGAGGGGAGCAAACACCCAAGCCACTAGACCTCATCATAACAAACGAGGAGGGTATGGTGGCCAAACTGGAACACCTTGCCACAGTTGGCACCAG